TCTTTTTTCTATACAACGTTTCTGATGAAGGTGCCTTGTTAGAGTGGTGGAGAGGGCTGAAAACAGTTAATTTATCTAGAACTATTACAGGTGGATAGAGCGGAATCACTATCGATTATAATAATAGTAATAATAATGATAGTAATAATAGTAATAATTATAATAATAGTAATAATAATGATAGTAATAATAGTAATAAGCCCCAGGCTAAGGCAATCAGCCTATAGGGCGCGTTCCTGCGGTGACGGACGGAGAAGGCCATTCCGCAGGTGCATAGTTCCGAGGCGCTGCAACAGTCGGAGGTTGGATCGAAATAAAATAGTTTCAGTGGAGCAAAACGCCAAGGAGAAGACCCCAAAAAAATCTAGGGCAGGTCCCCAAATTAAAAATGGGTTATGCTAATAGAAACATTATACCCCAGGCAGTAAACTTTCAGAGGAAATCTGCTGTCAGTTCCGAGCTGCTGAAAGCCCGGGTGACTGGTGTTGGTACTCACGGACTCTAGGGGTTGCCCCAAAGGCATTCAGTACGAAAGTGAGAAGACAACTTTCAATAAAAAAACACTTACAGAAGCGCTTTACATTCTTTCCCAGCCATGGACGGGACATGATGCTATCTGCGGGATATGACACGAACTGGACGGGGAGCGAGTGATGTCAGTGCTGCCAGCTTTTTCAGTAACAGTACCAAGATGCATCTGGAATATACCAGCAACTTAAAATCAGAGCTAACTGTAGATCAAAGGAGAATCTCGTATTTACAGAACTCAAAAAATAATTAAAGGTATGGTAAAAACAGCAACAACGACCTTCAGAAAAACAGCGATGCCGATAAAAGAAGGTAAAAAGTGGCATTGTACCTATTGTACAAGTTTAAGGATAGCCATTAGGGACAAGGAAAAAGATGGAAAATCTCCTAAAATAAGATGATACTCTGATCAGAAAGACGTACAGATTAGAAAAAAGTGAGAGAATCACACGCTTTATTTAATCTAGATTTGTGAATAGCGTGCTGACAGGAAACTAGAACAGAAGTCTAGAAGCTCTGAAGGAGACCCCTAATCCCACTTCTCAAATATGGAAAAAGTTCCGGAAAAATCAAGAGCATATCCCCAAGATAATAATAAATGGCAGTGACAGCGACAAACAAGATAATGCCAGAAAAAAAGAGAAGAGAATTCTCGTTGAAGTCACGGAAGGGCAGAGCTTTGCTATAGTACTGAAAAAGATGAGGACTGATTTCAAGTCGAAAGAGGTCGAAATCACAGTCAAACGAGTCACTGCAGCTAAAAAAGAAGATCTTCCCCAAAGTAAGAGAAGTAAAGAATAGAGGGAACCTTGTTAGCAGTACAGCTAAGACCGTGGGAGGGCTAGTATATGTTAAAGCAGATAAAAAAAGAGTAATACTTGAAATTCGAGATCTGGATCCAATTACCGAGAAGGCTGTCGTCAAACTTGCATTGAGTAGAATTTTTGGCCATTCGCAACACATAAGAGCAGTGACAATGCTAGGCAATAGGCTTCACAAGCTGCCAAGTGAGGAGACGGTTTAGTCCTCAGATGATCCCGGTGTCTGGAGTATGAACACATAGCCCAAAACTGCAATAAGGAGGATCAGTCGAAGTTTTGATTTTGATGCGGCAGCTGCAATCACCACAAAAAAGATTGCAAAGAGGAGGCCCAATGTATCACTTACAGAATAGAAGGTGCCAAATACAGAGCAGGTAGCGGCAGCAGCTTAGCATTTAGAAAGGCACTAGAAGAGGCTAAGAGTAAGGTGCCTACAAAGCGTAGATAGAGTTTAAAAGGATGGAAGCTATATGACTATTGCAGACCCAAGCTGCGCTGATTTACCAAAGTCATCAAGTAATAGCAACGAAAATCGATGTTTTTGCAAAACAGCCGGCGACTAGATGGAATAAAGAGGAGGCAACATCACGACAGTAACAACATTCCGATGGAAGGCCACGTCAATGGTTAACACTCTGTGGCCTTGGCTCAAAGTAATAATGCGAAAGTAGATTCCGAGCCAGGTGTCTCGAAGATAGGTCTTGCCAGTCTCGTGAGTATTCACTCAATATAGCTAAGATATCGTAGCGAGAAATAAGCATTTTTAGGCTAACTGCGAGTTCCATACACGGCAGGGGTTTGTACCCCTTTTTATTGTGCATTAAGACATTCTAGATGACCATGGATAAGGAAAAAAAGTTACAATAATAATAATAAAAATAATAATTGTAACAATAAAAAGAGAAATACTAAGTATAATGGTGACAACACTGATACATTATTATAGTACTATGCAGAATAACGGGATACACATAATTATATATATGTGTAAATATATAAAAAAGTGCTACTTTTTTTTTTTACGGCCTCAGGACGGGCTGCAAAAAAAATGGATTATTCTTCAACTTAAAGAATCGTCTGCCTTGCAATCACAGAAAAAAAAGTTATGCTTGCGTAATTGATCATAATGTTCAACTGATCTGTCTCATAAATGATGTCAGAATATTCTAAGAGCAGAGACACCTCTAGTGTAGTTCCGAAAAAAATAGAACCTACGTATTAAAGTATTGTTTAACAAAATGAAAAACCTGCCAAACATGTACCTTTTACCTTAGAAAAGAACAAAAATCGACGAATTTCTAACTAAAAATTCTAACGACAATGCCTATGAATTTTCTATCTAAAGATACTTTGTCTTACATATATATAAACTGTTGAAAATAGCTTTGAGAGTACCGACAATTTATATCTGACCAGAAGAAAGTACACACTTAAATGTGATTCAACTACTCAAGCAACAACACATCCATTGTAGTCCACTTAAGTAACATAAAAAGTGACATTACAATAACATGTTAATAAGAAAACTAATATGAGCATTTTATAGATAGAGAAATCAGCTAAAAAAAAACTTAAGTATTAGTCAAACACCAATAGGTGTAAAAGGGGTGCCAAATATAATAAACTAATAAAAGAAATTCTTCGACATGATTTGCAATCATTCAGATATCATTTTTACCCCGGTACGTTGGGTGTAAAAATCCATCACAGTAACGCTACGCACCTTCTCTTTTTTCTATACAACGTTTCTGATGAAGGTGCCTTGTTAGAGTGGTGGAGAGGGCTGAAAACAGTTAATTTATCTAGAACTATTACAGGTGGATAGAGCGGAATCACTATCGCAAGAGACAGTGTGACGATGAACCCTACAGTATTGCGACCAATAATCATCCAGATACAGGGTGATAGGCCATAAGAATATCGTTCGAGCTATGGCAACATTAAATAAACAATTAAAATAAATAATTGGTGGACGAAGAATGAATCAATAAGGTTTTTGTTACCATCGTCTTCATGATGAATTGTACACGTATGTCATAATATATGTAAAAGAAAAAGCCAGTAGACAGTGGGTACTTGAGTACCCAAGTATAAAGCTATACTTCTATAAAATTGTATGGCAAACGATATAATTTTTAGTATAAAAATATCTTCTATGAAACATTATAGTGTACGAAGGTGATGCAATTATCGTGGGAATGAGTATATGTATGTAAATTGGGTATGATTTTGATTAATATATAATGAAGTAACGATTATAAACAATACATAACGGCACAATAAAAATAGTGTATAGGATGGCCTGTACAAGACTATGCTTTCATCGAATCTTCGGTGATTTCAGAACAACTTCCTACTGCCTACACTGATTACATCTGTAACCATCACGCTCACATCTATCACATACGATCTCATACTTATTCCTAGTCCATATTTAACACCCCAAATATAATTATATACGAAAAATAAAGAAAAAGTATCCTGTCGTACAGCTTTCTTCAAAAGAGTAATATTACGTACCAGTGAATGTCCCTTGAGGACGTTTTTCACATATAGGATTTTTTGACCGATATTATTCCAACGTCAAACGTATATTAAAATAGCATAAAAAATACTCACAAAAATTGCAGCTTGTTTGACTGTACCACTATTTTATGTATGTTACATTTAAAAAAATCGACATTCAACATGTAACTGTTTAAAAAAACTCACGTTAAACAGCATTTGACGTTTTTGTTATATATGAATTTCATACACACAACACAAATAATACGACAGATACACAACACTATTAGAGAGGAAGAACTGATCACCACCAAGGACGACGACGTCACGGCCTTGGACGTATTACGTACAATAGCATGTATAGCTATGCGCCCGTGCGCCCCTTCTAGTTTGAGCCCTAAAGAATAAAAGAGCAGGAAAGATAAGAGCTGTTGGTTGAGAGAGTAGAGCGAAGTATGCCATGAGAAATGAGATGAGTCAGTCGAAAATACACTCTTTCTTCACTAATATAAGTAATAAAGAATTGTCAAATATAAAACGTTCTTATTATCTTGCGTGTACCCCAAGATACCTTTTTCCCACATAGCACTACTAAAGAATTAAGTATTAATAAAAAAATTATTTACCAACAATACATTGTTATTACTTATAAGTTTGCAACCGTGAGATATACCAAGAAGTATGGAAACCCTTTTTTTCTTCAAGTTTTAATAAAAACAGCTTGTACTACTACACTGTGATTTATCACTGTACCTATCACATAACTTTTACAATACTACTCTTTAAATGAAAACACTGCTATTTAAAAATATTTTTCAAAAACATACAATTTATCAAAAGAACTGCACTAAGTTTGCGTAAAAAAGTAGAAGAGTGTGAAGTGGCATGTCAGGTAAAGAGGGGCATGTCAGGAACTTCTTTAACGGAGTAAGAAACAGATAAATTTAGTTTTATTTCACGAGGAAAAAATTAAGTATTTTTCTCATTTTATACCAAGCAGTAATAATGCTCAGTTCTTCGTCTCACATATAACAATAGAATTATTATATTACTACGGTTTAGTGTTAAATGCTTTTTCACCCCATTTAAGTTGGACACTATAAAAAAAAATGATAAAGAACTACCATAATTCAAGGTATTTTTTACCTGTTGTACTGGGCTTTGTGCTTGAAACAAAATTCGGCGCCTTAAAAGCTCTCCAAAAATACATCCTACACTCCATATATCAACAGCAGTTGTGTAATGTCGAGCACCCATTAAAATTTCTGGAGCTCTATAATACTGTGTTACAACTTCTTGTGTCATGTGTTTTTTTTTATCAGGTTCTTCTACTCGTGCTAATCCAAAGTCACATATCTAAAAAAAATAAAAA